TCGTTTATTACAGTCCCTATCTACAGCTACGGTGCCTGCTAATCTTATACGAACCACGACTGGTGACTAATTACAAATGATCTGACCTGACGGCATGCTTTTTTAACGACAATTGCTCCAGCAATTCCTATTCTTTGCCGAACATCGCAGTACAGCTGGTTAGGATTCAGGTGATACAAAATTCCAAGCATGAGCCTCGAAGTACCTTAAACAAGATACGATAATTTTCAACCACTGTTATCTGATGCTATGCAGCTTTAAGCGGCTGAAGGTTTCGTCGAGTATCCAAAGAAGCAGTAAGCCTACAGACACTGTGTGTTTAAAACAAAAGAGTAGTAACTCCCAGTCACGTGAGCATGATTTGGCAATATTTTCCCGACAACCACTGGTAATAAAGAGTTCGCCTTCCTGGAATACTTCAACACCCTCAGCACTACAAACATGATGTAAATGTAAAGTGAATTTAACAGATGCGTTATTTAATGTCGAGTTTTAAATTCGTTCAATGATATTTTTAAATACGCTACTACTAAGTGTAATTTCATTAGGAAAATGTATCAGACCGATATACAAAACCGGTCTGAAAGACTTAAGACAGTTTCACTTCAGAGGTACAGTAGAACGTTTCGAACAAAGGCCCATCTTCTACGAGTAATACAGACAATGCAACAATGGACCTGTGCTTCAGTGGAGACTCCTTCCAATTACAATTATTATTATTATTATTATTATTATTATTATTCCATCTATTCGCCATTTTACAGGTTATTTACTTCTGTGTAGCCGAGACAAACTTTGCCCCTGAGGTACATATTGCAGCAGCTAATTCTGAAATACATTTTGTTTTTTTAATACGTGTTGCATGCATTAAACAGATTTCGCATGGGACATTATATATTTTACATGAGCGTGTTTCGAATGATGTATGATGTTCCTAGAATGATAGTTTTCTGAAGTTCCCTGATGTCGTGTTCACCCGGGATGTTGACCAAATATTTTTTAGTGACTAGGAGACAGTTCCAGTTGCTCCTATAATTATTGGGATTACTTTTGATATTACTATCATTATTATTATTACGTGTGCATTTTCGTCATGGTTACAAACAAACTCCTCATGCGTATCGGGATCATCTCGCTTCACGCACGGTTTAGTACAGAACGGCGCAGAGCGGTGGACGTGTGCTGGGAACGCACTTAAAGTAAGCAGTCTTGTTGAAGACATCGACAGCTGCGAGTGAAAATATTTATCTCCACACGCATCCGTTCTTTACAGATTGACTCTTGTCTATGAAGGATAAAAAAACATTCTGTTTCTGCGATTCTATGTCACGTCGAGAAACAACGAAGTTTAAGCTCCAAGTTCTTTTACATCCGACGATACGTGATATCACCCCTGAACGCATTATGATAAATAAATTTTCTATTACTGCAATTCTGATTCACTTTTTTAAATTCAGCCTCGTCATATCCAATACCGAGAAGGTGAAAACCAATATGATAATTTCGATAGAGTACCGATATGAAAATAAAAAAAGGTTCCGGTAAACCACACCGGCCTATACCGGAAATGATTGGACTGAGAATCTGATTCAGGGTAACTGAGATGCATCCAGCACGATCTTTCTAACTTCTAATCCCATTTGCCACTACGTATCGCTCTGAGAGGTCCGCTCTTCTGCAATGGTCAACTTGAAAATGAAGTCAACATAATGGAAGTTCATGACTTCAGATGTGCACTGGATGTAACAACACCTCTTACCTGCAAGCTAGTCAAACATGAGTGGTATCAACCATAACAATGAGAAATTCATCGGAGAAATGTTATTTATGATGCATTTTCGTTGTTTGATTAACAAATCTAATGTGCAATAAAACTGAAATACGATCAGTGTACAGTTTTGCTCAACAAATAAATGACGAAACAGAATACAAAACAAAGACTAATTGCCATTTTCTTTCTGTCTATTGCTGTGGTTCATAACCTATTTGAAAAACAGATTTCACTAACTATAAAAGAAGAATGCGTAATTTTGGTTTTATGGTTTAGTGTAGGGACGTCAGTGCCAAAGAAGTAAAATTCATTGATAATTAAATAATTCCAATCTACTTATTTACCTCAAGTATTACACTGAATCTTTCGCATTTTGGTGCAGAATATAAAAATGATTAAGTACGCTCTCCTTTCTAATAAAACGATTTAATTGACATTGGTGTACACCCCCTGGAATATTATTAAATCTATAAAATACGGAAATTTCTCAAAACCCTCTACTTCAAGGGAGGAAAAATTAGACTTCGGCAGCTGTAGGCAGGGGCGTACATCAAACATCATTAACCCCAGACGTCACTGCAGATATGGTCAAAGGTCAAATTACAAATTCTGGCGCCAGTGCTGTAAGACTGTTACACGTTGCGAGTACTTGGTAACTATGGCGAACCATCAAAGTATGTGAAAATGGACTAGGTGTAAAGCGGACACAGCTTCTGTGTAGAAGTCTCAACTAAATAAACAAAAAAGATGGTTGTCCTCTAGGTTGTAGCATCGTGTACGCTGGTAGAAGTTTACCGACGTTTCAGAGACAGCAAGTACCTCAAAAACGTCAATAAGCTTCTACCAGACTACACGTCGCTATAACCCAGAAGACAACCAACCATTTTCGTGAAAACCTCCAATCCTAATTATCAAAGCATACGTTCTACGTTCTCTACTATCGCGCCTTTGATAATTACAACTCGAAACAGAACCATACATGTAGTGTAATTCTGATTACGGACGAAGAGTGCTGAACATTTTGCCGTTCCCCTGAAGACTCCTTCTTGAGGACGAGAGTGCCATCAGCATGCTCTTCTCATAACGTCAGCCTTCTAGTCATGTGCACGAACCAATTCTCATACCCCCCCACCCCCTCCCCATATTCTAGTAGAATCGATTTTCAATAATTACCACTGCACCTCCCATCTTGTCGATATAATTTTCACAGATTTACTTCACCACTCTCTGGAACAGCGACTCTCGATATTTGCATGAAGCACAACCCGCCAATTTTATGTGCAATAATAAAGTCCGTACCAGAACAGTTTGTCGCAGTGTCCTTTCAGCTCTTCGACACGTTCTTCCTAACTGCGATTTCTTTTTGCTATTTCTGTCGGCTTAAATAAAACTATACTTATGCGACCGTACAAAGATCCTTGATTTCTTAATTTAATCATCGCATCCAGGGAATGCTTCTCAGCCTTAAAAAGCCTAGTGCCAAAACTCAGTCATCGATACACAGCCAATATCTGTCACGCATGTGAAAAGGTCAAAATAAAAGTTCTGCCGGCGGCGACTTCGGTAGCAAGAAATTCAAACGAGGCTAATGGCGAGTCAGGCTGTCGGTTTGTTTTTCTCTAAATCTTTGTAAACGGTCTTATATAACTTTCTTTGTTACGGGCTTTATCGGTAGTTTGTTTTTAAAAAGCTTTAAAAATCTTAAAACCAAAAAAATCAAAACGTTTCGAAGGATGGGCCTTTCATCGTTTACATGTAAACGGGAGAGAAGCCGGCGGTACACAGAACTATTTTCGGTCTTGTCATGAAGCGATTGCTGGATGGGGGGTCCTTATATATTTTTATGTGGAACTAATATCAATGATGAGCCGGGATAGCTCAGTCAGTATAGTGACTAGCTACGGGCTGGACGACCGGGGTTCGATCCCCGACGGGGGCAGAAGATTTTTCCTCTAGCCTCTGCGTCCAGACCGGCTCTGGGGCCCACCCAGCCTCCTCTACAATGGGTACCGAGGTCCTTTCCCGGGGGTAAAGCCGGCCGGGGCGTGATGCTGACCACTCACCCCCATCTAGTGCTGAGGTCAAGGAAGAGAGGAGCTATACCTCCCCCACCCAAGTGCCCACATGGCGTATAGTGGGACAGCTTTACTTTACTTTTATATAAATGTTTGAAACACAAAAGTAAACTTCCACACAAATGACCAAGTCCTGGTACTTTGCAAATTGTTAGTCAGTCATAAGTTCTTATCAAGTCATATTCTTGTAAAGTAATAGAAATAACAGATTATTTAATGATGGTGTAAAAAGCATCTAATAACTGTATGAAACATGTCCAGTAACTATACATTTGTGAAGACTTAATTTCATAATACAGAGAAATTTTGTGATTTTCTTTATGAATAAATAAATAAATGAGGATTCCAAAAATGTATGGTGATTTGGATTTCAATAAAATCTACAGATTTTATTAAATCTTGAATATGAAAATTTCCAAAAGTGGCCAGTAACTACACAGTTCCCCCTTTTATATCTAACTTCATACAAAATTTCATGGCATAAAATCCATACAAAATTTCATCCCGATATGTCCAGCAATTCTCAAGTTTAATCATGCTGACAGACATACAGACAGAACTGGTCGGCCATATATGCATTAATTTCATGCACTTTGTGCCACGACACACATAACTTATGAATGAACCAGCAAGACTCGGCATAAAGCAACGACTACCCATGTTTTACGCTGGGCTTGTAGTCCTGGGGTCCCGGGTTCGATTCCCAGTGGTGCGCGGATTTATAACTCGTGTTGGCAAGGCCGTGGTCCAGGTATCACGGAGTTTTCCTCCGGGGCTTCCCCAGTTTCTCCGTGGCATCCCAACAACTACTCCATTTTCATCATCATTAGATACGAAACACACAGAAGAAGGCAATGGCAAACCATTTCTGGATCACTTGCCGAGGAAACATATGAACAGGTCCCTATCAGAGGGAACTTGTTCATAATGCCACCAGGGGTCGGCTCCGACCCGATGGGACAAAAAAAATGTTTTGATAAGAAAAGACACTGTTACAAATCAAACTGAATAATGACTTTTCTAAACAGTAAACACAATATTTAATATATGCAAACATGCAAATAAATTGCATAACAAAAGTCTTCTTTCAAATTTCTATTTATACAACTGACACTGATTAGAAAAGACATTTCAGATTAAATTTTCTCTCTTACCTGTGTGAACGTTAGCTGCAGATGCAACGGATGCTGCAGTTTCTCTGGTCGTAAGTGCTGCTGCTCCCTGAACATTGACATCTTGTAACAACACCTCTTCTCCTCTGTTCTTCACGTACTGCCAGTCTTCACGAAGCTTCTTTATTTTTTCCTGAAAATTTGGGTTAAAGTTCACACATTACAACACAAATATGCACTAAATATCATACAGTTTTATACAAATATAATATTCTGTTCATGGAAACTGAAAACGTACTCACCTGTAATTCTACAGACACAAGATGCTTTTCACCTTCACATTCCTTTTCCAAGTTTGTGAAGTTTTCCAATGCCTCTTTTACTTCAGTCTCATGGTCATAGACAGAATTCTAGAAGATGAACAAAGAATTATGGCAGCTTCGACACAGGACATTCCCCTCATTCGCTTCGACTACGTAAGCTCACGTATCAACATTATATTTAGAAGTCGAAAGATCACGCATGTGACTTAATGTGGGTTTCACACTGATAAAACAGTTGAATGTGAATGTCTAACCTGGTTTAAATTCAGTGAACAGACTATGCTGTAACCATCCATCTCCAAGAACACATTTTTTCTTGCTAGAACTTCAACTCATCATTACTTTCCACCTCATACTTATCGAGTAAAATGAATTCGCCATTAAAGCATTAAACAAAGACATGACTTCGACAACCGCAAGGTGATCTGATACAAATATACAGCATATTTAGAAGGGAATAACAGAAAGAATTATCCTTGTGATCAGCTTGTTGCAAGGCCTCTATCTATACACAGGACAGCACGACACAGAAAGACACGGACAAACATCCATGCCTTGAGTGGGTAACAAAATATTCATATATTTTCTAAAAATTTCCTTAGTATCTTGTAACAAGCTAATATAAGGAAAAGTCAACACTTTTAGCACTGCAACCAATCCCTGAAGTGGTAGAACTCCAACTTGTAAGATAATCTATACGCTTTCTCAGGGCCCAGATGACAATTTATCCCAGGATTTTGAAGACAAACAGCCTGAGTGAGTGTCTTGCTGGTGTACCATGTGTGCTGCCGCATGAACACTAACAAAGACAAGAATAAGAAAATGCCAAATTTCATGTGGCATAAAAAGGTATGTTTCATTTATATATGATGCCTGTTTGTTGTCTTGGTATATGAATTTGCATTACTATTGAAACCATGTGTGCATCTGAAAGATTGCAGAAACTTGGGCAGTACTTTGTTCTAAAATACTTTCTTAAACCTGACTGAAATTCACACAAATGTTGTATAAGACACAACATTTTTATTTTTATGAACACCTATTCAAGACAGTTCTTTTTCAGGTGAATACTTAGCAAGATATGGCAAAAAACTATTGTTAATACTAAATTAAAGTAAATTAAACTTAATATAACAATTTCAATTTCACACAAGTGCAGTAATCAAGAGTCATTAAAATGTCATCAAAGTACAGGGCTAGTCTAAATGATGTTCCCGATTTCAAAGACATGCTACTCACGTTTAATGAAATTCAGATGCACAAAATTGGTACCGATGGAAAGAGAAACTCTCAACTCAAAATATACCTCAACATAATTTAGAGTATATGTACCATCCTGTGTTAAATATAAATCTGTCCCATAATTTGGGTACTGTTACATTCCATCTGATCACGGATTCCTGGTGATGAACTTCAGAAATTCTGCCTTGCCTTCATAGTATTAAACATAAACCTCCCCTTTGTCGTCTCTGCTGTCTTGAGGAGCCTTTATATGACATTCATGAGTGCCTTCTGACAAAACAGATAGGATATATTTGAAAGCACATGGACTGGCATAATAAAACTTACAAACACATTCAGGAACTTAATAAAGTCAGAACTGTACAAACATTCAGTGATTTTTAATTTGAACCAAACTTACCTTTACCATGAATCTAGTTCAAACAAAACATTTTATGAAAGACTCTCGGGTTACAAGCCGTGTCAGGTGGTTGAATGGTGGATAAACCATTCAGCCACCTGATGCGGCTTGTAACCCGAGAGTCTTTCATCAACTTCAGTCGCTGCGAAAGCTTCACTTTATACAATACATTTGATGTTTTCATTGTTTATGTCTGTCCTTATATGAATTCTAAAATTCACTAGAGCACAGTGTCACAGTGGAAATGAAGTGACTTACTGTTAATACTGTTTGGTTATAGATGGAAACTTGCAAAACAAATTGATAAGTACAGTAATGTACAGAGCAATCCTTTCTGGTTACAATTACATGACATGTCATGTGTGCATGTTATGGTTGCCTATAATTGAATGCAAAATTTTAACATAATGAATTGGTGTTTTTTGGAGAACACGCCACGTCCCATGTAAACAAAACGTTCAAACAGCTCAAAGAAACATGTTAGGCAAAATGTCTGTAAGTCAGTCAGTACAGGTTATGTGTGACAGTTCTCACTGCAGAACAAAAATGTGTGTGAGTAGATATGCTTGAGAATTAAGATGAAGGATTACACACATTATCTGAAATAGAAGATAATGTTGTCATCTTTTAGCCTGATGTAACTCCACAACTTTAGGCAGATTGTCTGTAAACCATTAATAATTTTCTGGAGCATAGTATGGAAAGAGAGTGGAAAAAAATTTTCCACTTAGTTTTTCAGATATTAGTCGTCAGAATCAATTATTTAAACCATCTGAATCTGCAATACAGTTGGGTCCTGTACTTAGATTTTCACTGTTTGAGTTCAAAGTACAACTTCAGCCTTCTAGGATAAACTGCATTGAATGTTGAAAATATCCGGAAATTTGGCAAACAGTACAGTTGTCATATTCACCCTGAAGATGACAACTGCAATGCTTGCCAATACATTAACCTTAGAGCAGTAACTAAATTTTACGTTTACATTTACACTTTCAGAATGCATAGTCAGCTATAACTCATCTTCCTTACCATGATGTTGTCTATAACCCTCTTCTTCTCCTTGTCAGGAAGTTCCTTGCTTATGTTGATTCTTGTTTTTGTCTCCATGACCCAAGCAATTACAGCATCCAAATGACTTGTATATTTCTTCAGGGACAACAATTTGCATTCTATGTATTCATGGTGGTCTGATAAATTAGATGAAGCCTATAAACAAGAATTTCAGTTTATAACAGTAAGGAGAGTAGGATAAAAGAATGATCACAAAACACTAAAAGTGCGGGCCCATTATGAATTATGAGAAGGTAAAAATAATTAAACAAATTAATCAATCTAAACTTTTTCAGGAGATAATAAATATAATGTATCTCACATACCTTCTCCATTGTAGTGCTAAGATTCTTTAACTTTTCAAAACTTTGTATCTGCTTATATTTATGAAATTTTTCCATTTCTTGCTTTTTCTCAGCTAATTCTTCCTCACATGCCTATAAAGAGCAGAAAAATGACTTCAGTTACAAATCTAAGATCCAAATTAAAAAGATCACTCAATTATAAATCCTTCTTCATCCTGTTGTCATCAGCTAAGTACATCACCTTATAATTATTCACTGACTCAATTAATTAGTCAACTTCTCAATAACCAACCACGAGTGACACATAATTAGTAAGTGTTCAACAGGCTACAGAAAACACTTCAAAAGCAGTTAAAATGAAGAAAATAAAAGAGAAATGTATACCTGAATTGCATATAATAGATACTGATGACAAGTTCACTCACTTAACAGCAAGTTTCCATCTCATGTACAAATTTTCTAATCTCACACTGAGACTTGCCTGAAGGTTCCCCTTCAAAACAACCATTCGAAAGGAAAACAAAAACACGCCGGATGCCACGCCGGCCACAACGTTTTATAAAACCCTACCATTTAGTTTACAATACTATTTATATCACTTGGCAAACACCTCACAGAGACACTACAGAGTTAGTTTCCCTCTTGTCTAAACCTATCGCCACATTCTCCCATATCCTAGTGTACAGTTCTTATTTTACTTGGCACAATGACAAGAATGAATATCCAAACCATCACTAAGCGTTAAAACATGGGATCACATCCAAGCCATTAACAAATTGTCACCACAAAATGTTCACATTGCTTGAAACTGAATTAAAATTTTAAGCAATGAAGTTATAAATATGTTGCATATTCTAGTCAGTACTCCAGACTTCAGAAAGGTCCATTATAAAATAAAGTCTTAATTGTGACAGACCTACACAATAATCTCTGCACAATAAATAAAGAGGTATAGCATTCACTTGCATTTTGTAGTTTAGGTGATAAAATTCTCTTATGCATAAATTTGGGCACACAATGGCTAATAATTTATTTATTTATTTAGTTCTTTTGAAACAATCCACCCCTTCAAAATGAGATGAGTATACATGTTTTCAATTTCTTTCTCAAATTTATCATTTGGTTGATACCAATGTTTCCAGAACTTAAAATGTCTGTGGGCAGTAATGTGTGGACATCTCCAAAGTTTTGAATACCAAATTCATTTTAAAGGTCTCAAAAATTACATCATAGGCAGACATAAAAGAACATGTAGATATTCTCTATTTCTAGTAACTAATCGGTAACATTAACTGTCAATAACAATGCCAACCAAAACTCTCTTCAATCCACAGAACACAATTCAGAACAACTGTGAGGAAACAAAGACAATGTTCAGACATACCTTTACCATACTAAGCCTGACAGCAAGGGACATATCATCTGAAGTATTAGCTGTTGACTCCAGTAAAGCTTTGACTTGATCCAAACAAATCTGGGTTGAGTCCAGAAAGTGTTTAGCTTCATCCTTCAGACTGGCAACAGCCTCCATGGCAGTGATCCTACCACAAAAGGAATCTAATTTAAATTCTGTCTGACAAATAACACTACATCCAACACAACAAAAGCATTTCCATCCTTGCAGATGAATGAATGTCTTCTGGGTTGTAGTAATCTGTCTTTGATGTTAATATTTCTTGGTGAAACCTAATAGTGGTCTTAATAAACACAGAGGAAATAAACTGCTAATTAACTACATATACACTGCTGAACTCTGCATGAACTCAGGACTTCACTGCAAATATATATATATATTACTATTATCTCATTTATATTTTGTGATTGTGTATTATTATTTGTTGCAGATACATTTTATCATCTTGCAGACCTCACATTAAGTTATGACGTGTATAAACGTAACATTTCGGGTTCTCACAGCAGTGAGTATAAAGATGGCTGCCTTCTGGGTTGTAGCACCATGTAATCTGGTAGAAGTTTACCAACACCTCAGTGGTACTTGCTGCCTCCAACATTACAGCCCTTAATGACAGGAACTTGTAAAACATTGGTAAATTTCTAACAAATTATATTGCATCACATCCAAGAAGTCAATATCTTGTTAATTAGCAGTTTATTTCCTGTGTGTTTTAAGACCACTACTAGGCTTCATCTAGATTAGGCCACCTAAGAAATGTTACCATCAAAGACAGACTCAAAGGTACAAATGCAATTCAAATCATAAACATACAGATACTAACAAAATACAGTAACAACTGAAAGTGCTACAAATTCTTTGTATTGCTTCTCACTTATTTCAAGCACCAAAATTGTTGGTACCATACAAGTGAAATCAGACAGAGAAAATTAATATTCCATGTGTTCATAAGAATATGGGCCCTTAAAAGAAATTGACAAAGACAAAGAATAGTCAGTTGCACTCTCACTACAAAATTCATTAATAATTCCCACTTCTTTCATCAACCACATCAGTATTACTGTGTGTTTGAGTCTATAAATGTCTTAACTCCTATTTTCATCCTTATATCAAATCAATACATTTACACTATGCATATTTATGAACTTATAATAGCAATAAACATAGAGAAATACCACAGAAAAAAGTATGTTAATATAAACTACTGTTAAGTGGTCCCACTGTAACAGCTTTTGCAGCTAATTCACACACACACTGCACAACAGTTTAACCACTTGCAAACAGCTGTGTTATGAAGCGAGAGGGGAGTGGGAGTTCAGCTCAACCCAGTACTTAAGTGGAAAAAAAGAATGAAGTTTTTTGTGCCAGCTACAGACATGCACATGTGCTGTCATCAATTCAGAGGATCACATAAACACGGGATTGGTCGATCAAAGAAACAAGCATGACTAGCTTCCATGTTACATAATAATGCCTGTGGGGGTGGGGGTGATGGAATCCTGCTTACGACCCATTGGTGTTGCTTACTTTGCTGGAGGTTCAGATTCACCAGACCTGAACTCATTTTCATCCTTAATTTCTAACAACCATTCATTACTGTCCATTCGCAGAAATTTCTTGTATTTTACTGATCTGATCTTGTTTAAAGTCTTATACACTAAAGGCTTATTGGACAATGGACAGTTCAGAAGATAAAGCAAAGCCACAGTACTGACCTGTCATGTCTACATTTTACAGTTTTTTCTGACCCATCTCATCTACATATCAAATCCAAAACCTTCGTTAATTTCTGTGGCTGTAGTTTGAATCAGTATAAAGTTTTATGTGACACCTTCGATTATTTTGCATTTTTGATACCATTAAATATTAGAATGTTCAACTAAAAACAGCATACCACCATACAATCACCATTTCAGTAACACTCACAGTTATAAATAAACATGCTCAAAAACTTAGTTTAAAAAAAAGATTCATTACGTGGTCTGTCATTAGTTCTGCAACACATCTTTGTTTTGTATAAAGTGAAGCTTTCACGGCGAACAAAGTTGAAGAAAGACTTTCGGGCAACACGATGCTAATACCTGCCATCCGCCGCCATTTCCCATCGGTGAGCACGCTACATAGGACCAGTTCCTTTTCGCAACTGCCCTGAGAATGAAAGCAGAGATGGCTCTCAAAATGTTAGCAGAAGAAATGGTTTATTCATCATTCAGCCACCTGATGTGGCTTGTTGCCCAAGAGTCTTTCATCAAATCTTTATTTTCATCATCAGAATGATCATTTGGTTCTTATTCAGAACTTATATCCATGCTTCCACTTAGTTTACAGTAAAAGCTAAATCATGTGTTCCAGATCATTTACTTGAACTTGTGCCTACAAGACTATCAAAAATTTCTGTATCTCTCATTTAATATGAAATCAAACTTTATGCATATAATTCACACAAATAAATTCATATTCTAAAACTTTCTTATGCAAACCCATGTTTAATACTGATGAGAAAAAACAGAGCACAGAACTGCATCACTGATAGCGATATCTTGCATATTTATTGTGTTAAGGGGCAATGGGGATGGAAGGGGTTATGTTTGTTATTTAGAAACAAACATTCTGCCTCAGGCTGCTAATAACTTTGAGATGACAAATGAGAAAGATCGCCACCCATAAGTTTGGATGATACAGCACAATAACATCAAATTATGTAACTATTAGAAAGGTATGGGATACACAACTGATGTTATGTAGTATCAACACAAGACTTAACACTAAATAACCAGGTAATTGATTTTTAAAAGAGATACCTGTACTGCATGTGTAAAAAGGCTGATTAGTTAGTTAATTACTTTAATAACAGTAATTTTTTTGTTAAAATATGTGATTTTTAAGTTTATGGCTAAAAAGACATAACAAAAGCTTGCTAATGTAATTCATAAGCTTTATTTTGAAGTTCAAGCATTTCATGTCTATTCATATAGTGGTCTTGCAGGTGGTTACCAATGTTTTAGAGGAACATACTGCCTCCATCCATTCCTCTGAAACATTAACCACCTATAATACCACATGATGTCACAAGCCAGGAAAAAACAACCTTAACTCTCACCACTATGAAAACTTTAAGTCTCATATGTCACATCTGTTCCTGACATGGGCACAGCCAGTGGTCAAATAAGAAGAAAAACGAATAAGTACAGTTTCAAACAAGTTCACAAGAAATGAATTAACTACATCTGTACTCACTTATCCCTTCTTGTGGTGAGCTCTGCTAGAACAGCCTGCCATCGATGCCGCAAATCATCAACCATCAGCTGGATATTTGTGCTTTCTGGTGGTTGTGTTTGCCCAACAATTTCACGACTTGCTATTCCAATGTTCTTCATTGTTCTTCAAAATTATAGGAGAGGAATGTAAATACATGCAAGACAGCAACACACCATATAAAAAGAACCAAACAAAATATACCAGTCAGAATAAGAGAAAATGTAAAGCTCATAAATCAGAAGACTATATTCTGTTATGCTGATTCCACATCAGATATTTGCCAACCATATTCATGGGCATCTGAACTGCCTCTAAAACTTTTTGTACAAAACTCAGTGTTTGATATGAGACTGTCATGGTAAAGATGTTGATGTTGGTATTCTGGGCTGTAATATCATGTGGACTTGCAGGTAGATACCATCATTTCAGATAAACGTACCATCTTCAGGACTCAAGAAGGAGACAACATCAACACACAGATTTCTGGCTAAGCTAAGGCAACAGTTGCCCTTAAAGGTCACATGCCTAGAAAAAACAATGTAGTCCAGTGGTGGGTGGAGGCATATAGACAAAGGGCTTACATTATTATATTTTGATGTGGTAAAGCCAGTAACCAAATTTTTTAAAAAAAAACTAAGACCATCCAATGCATATTATCCCTATGATGAATCAGTTAAGAAAAAATCAAGCATGAAGACTCTTGATTCCCTTATTTTGCTTATATCCAAACAATGACACACACAATATGGCAGTCTGTTCCAAGAACCATTTTCCTGGGGTAAACTGTGTCCAAGAAGGTGAGCATTGGGCAAGGTAAATGGAGGCAACAGGAGATGGGGGGGAATACCATAGCATGGCCAGAAGAGGACAGGTATAGCTCAGACATGCAAGACAGAGTAAAGAAACAGCCCTTGGGGACCAATAGGAAGATCACCAGACATATGGAATAAGTGTAGATGGATGCAGTGAAGGATAAAAAATAAAATATACATGGAGAAAAAACTAAGAGGGCTACAGACTAAATAACATAAGAATTGGCAGAGAGGAAATAAGAAACTGGCTGGGACTAGGACAATGTCCTGAAAAGGTCAGTGCGTGGGGTAGTGGTATCTCTGAAATCTGTCAGACTACATGGCACTGCAACCCAGAAGACAAAGATGGCTGTCTTCTGGGTTGTTGCACTGTGTATTCTGGAGGAAGTTTACTAACATTTCAGAGGTCCTTGCTGCTCCATCATCAGGACATCAAGGACCTCTGAATGTTGGTAAACTTCTACCAGACTACACAGCGAAACAATCCAGAAGATAGCCATCTTTGTCTTTGTTCTTGGCAACCTTCCTTGAGACCAGTGTTCTGCAACTGGTGTGCCATCACGAGATTTCAGGTCTGCTGCAAATTTTTATAAACAATTACATATTCGCACACTATAGTTATAAAAGGCAGTATCTTTTATATAAATATATATAAAATTAGAATTCATAATACACACAAACATATACACTCTTGTTCATCATACATTGTTTTATTCTAGTGAGGTGCTCTCAAATATTATAAATGACCCAAACGTTTTTAAAATGAATAATGTACAGGATATACAGGTATGGAATATTTATGTACTTCACTGTAAATACAACCTTTCCATTATATTTCAAATAACAATAATCCCAACACACAATCATATAATAATTAAACTTTATCATACAGGAATAGGGGACTTTAGTCCCCATTCTCTTGGATGAACTTTAATTCTGGGATCAACAGTTTATCACTATGCTAATGCAACAACAACCAGCTGGATCATGCGTAAAATGTAATGTGTGCTTGATAAAGGTTAATGTACCTGTGCTTCATGGTGACTTGCTTCTCCAGGTCTTTCTGTTTTGCTTTTGCTTCAGAAAGTGGTAGATCGGCATTCTGCCATTCAACAATTATTCTCTCAGCAGTGCTTAACCACTCTCCAAATGCCTGACAGTTATTATGAAGGTTACGCCATGTATCCATACATTTTAACCATCGGCTGCAAATTTGAATATTTATTACATTTAATTTTATATTTATTATATACATCACTTTAAATTTCAATAGTCTGTTGTAATAAACAAATGTTAGACAAAATAATAAGTGAATTCAGACTGAATTAAACTGCACAGAAAAGGAGAAGAAAATCAGAAACAGATCACCATTCCATTTCTTATCCTAAATGATACTCATAACTGCAATAATTCTTCATACTATACTAAATCATCAACAGCAAGTTAACAGAAGACATACAGTTTTTCAATTAATTCAGTTGCCATGAAATTTCAAATCTTCCAAGGACATTAATATATGTTTATAACAGCTACAGATATTTTAATTTTTAAATTCAAACAGCCTAGAACAAAGGTAGGCCTGTACAAATTTCCTGTAAATTAGGGAGACACATTCAAGAACTAGAAGTCAGTATATTAATATACTAATACAGGAGAAGTTTGATATAACTAGTATGGCCTATAACAACAAGAACACTTTTATGATAATTTTTTTATGCACAGTTAATGTAATAATATTAAATATAAATATATTTTTCAATTGTAATGTGAGTTAAATTTAATTACTTTTGATGCAATGAGTGTTTCACTTTCTACAAATGTTGGATTGTCATTTACTTTTCGCAAAATGAGTCTCACCATTTTCTGCAGCCATATAAAATTATATTTTGAAATGTAACTTAGACACTACTACTACAGCCAGCTGCATCCCACTGACAGCACATTACTATCACCAATGATCATTTTTAAATGAAAAATACTCAATTATTTTACAGTTGCCAACTACTGTTTCATTCATCTGTCAAACAATACATTTCATTCACTTTGTGATATGACTCAAGAATACAAACAGAAATTAACATGAATGTTAACACACTTGTATATCTACCATTCACATAGTAGTAATGGGCGTAATGCAGCAATTTGTCTCCAGAGAATCACAGACACTTCTGCAGTGACATGACATATGGAAATGAAAGGAGTAATTTGACAAATTAAGATGTTTTCTGCAAATTGTAACATGGACTTCTGATTAACAAAGTTGATATGAATCCACCCCTCCAGAACTGCCTCTCAGTTACACTCACAACAAATCATGCTCAATAAATTGCCTTTGTTTTTGACAATACAAATGGTTTTATTCTTTGCATCTGGTGATAAAAATCATAGCACAACTTCCTTTGGAGGGGAAATAAAGCCGACAGGCCCATGTCGTAGATTTACGGCATGTAAAAGAACCTTACGAGCATGATGCGATATGTTTCGTAAGCAAAATTGAGCGGCCATTTCTCACGTAAGTCTCCTGATTAACTGCCAGATGGCTCTGGCAGTCAAATCGGGATTGAGTAGAAATTGTGCAGAGTCAGTGGGCTGGTCACTCACTACTCATAAATGCACACTTCAGACCAAGAAACCTCCGAAAAAAGAAGGCGGCGAAAACCCACAACCAGGTTGTAGAGCTGAGAAACAACAACTCTTTGCGTCTGTTAATCTTTCACTACTGAATTAATGCTTGTTATTCTCTGCAACTGACAGACATTCAACACTTGAATTGAATGTTCATCCTTACTATCAGCCCCTTGCAGGAGGAGAATCAATGCTATTTTCCTTTATCTTCTTTACGTGGAGTGTGCTACAAAGATTAGCATTGTGGGTTACAGTGATTTAGCAGTTAATATAGCAAACCTCTTAGGTGTTTTTAAATAAAAGTTTTAAAAGCCTTACACCATTAAAAATATAAAGCACTAGATAAACATTGCATGTTGAATGCAACTGATATATTTCAATTTGTATCTTGTCATGACCTGATTTAGAGATACTGTGTTACTGCTGCACTATGTAGACACCATCTTTGTTAAAAGATTCATACTAATATTCCTTAAATAGGGATTCTAGAAGTTATTACATAAGGAAAAATGTCTATTTTCTGAACAGAGTATAAGTTGTTAGTATGATAAATACACTGTTTTGGTACTATAGAATAAGTATATATAATTACAATTACTGCAGCACAAATGGTAGAATTTTAATTACTTGCTATTTGATTCTTTGGGAAGTTTTACCTTACCAGATTTTTTTTATGTTTTTCATTATAACAACTTTTTTCTGAACACTGTAAACTCTCATAATAATGGACTTTACTGTGCTAATTATATCAGAAATGGAATGTAATGGCATGTAATGAAGTAAAATTTTCACAGATAAGACCACAATGTAATCAGAACTACATTGCACACATCTGAAAATGATACATAATAATGTGCAAAGATACAGAAATATTAAAATCACTTAAATTTTAGGCACTATGACAACCTGTCACCTGGCACTTGTGCAGGCCTGGACAAAGGTATAGCTGTTAAAATTAAGTGCAGTGGTGTTGACTCAAGTGTGTGTATATATATGTATTAACAAGTTAAAATCTTATATCATGACTTAACGCTACTGTTTCATTTCATCATGCTATTCAAGGTGTTAAAATATCAAGAATTCTGTGGTATACTTACTTGTGCCTTTCAGTGTAACCCCTGTTGACCTGTGACCACTCCTCTCGCAGTTTATCCACAATGCGTCTCACTTGATCACCCTGTTCTCTTTTTGCCCATCTCATCACACCATCACGGTCATATTCGATTTCATCTACACTAGGTTTTAGGGCACTAAGATTTTCTTTCACTTTCTGCAACCAGATTGAAGGTCAACTACACTTCATTCCATAATTAGATTTAAGAAACAGTAACACTAAAATTCAGTAAACCTCACATCAAAATATCTGATTATTCAAACAAAACCTGGTAGAAGACATACAATGATCCATGTAAAAGGAGAACTGTAACAATGAAAAGCTTAAAAATACCAAAGACAGGAGACTCAGTTACTTGCTTCCTTGACTTCTTAACATGAAACCTACAATAAATCATTGTTAAAGCCAAAAATATATGCACAAAAGCAAAAAATACATTTATTCTGTGTTGATTCATGGAGATGTAAGATACAACAGGGACCACCATCCACATGTCTTCTGCAACCATAAGTAATTAACAGTGCAGCAAACAAACTAATGGAAAACAGAAGAGTCTTAAACAGTATTAAATCAATGTTAGATTAAATTAATGTTAAGTAAACTGAATGGATTCTTGATTTATATAAGAACAATGTGTAAAATTTGTCAAATGGATAATAATTATCATTAATGACTTGGAAAGAATATGGGGGGGTGGGGGTGGAAGCAAATAATTTATATATGTACTTACTATAGAAGGAATTTCCTGCAAGGACCAAGAGAAACGTCAGTGAGGGCAGTGGATCTGCATGCCAAAACTAAAGTTTGGGCCTTCCAAATTTGGCACAGGAATGCTTACCAATTTACTGTGTGTTCAGATACAGACAAAAGCAAGAAACTGCTAGGACTCTGTGGGCCACAGTTGGTGAATGGGAAAATTATGAAAAAAGAGCTATGCAGGCAGTTTTAATGATACAGTAGTATAGATGAGTAGTGATAAAGGCACTCATGTCTCTGTGGGTTTTCACTCTGGTAAGTAAAGCACCTTTCTTTCTGTTTCTTTTATTCAAATTTCCTTATAAAGAGCTTAAAAATGGTAAAATTAATATTTTAGTCACAATATTATGTTGTTAAATTATCTGTTTACACCTGATCTACCTTCTACCTGTGATAGACTAAACAAATAACTGCTAAACCCTGAGACTATACTGGAAATTTCCAATTGCATGCATTTAACAGGGGAAAAGTATGTCATATGTTTCTACACATGGTTGTGACTGAAACAATCATACCTTCAAGCACTCTTCCTGGGCAGGAAAAGACTCATAATCCCGTCCAGTAAGTGGAAAGGAATTTAGCTGCCTTGATATAGTTGAAGCAGCTTCTCTGATCTTATTGACCCTTGTCACAAATTCTGCTGCACGATTTCCTCCAATATCCTAACAAACAAAATAAAATTCATATTAGGCAATTGCTTGAGATCCCTAACTAGCTTTTGATTGCAAAATAAAATAAGAAAGATAAATATTTAACCAAGTGGATTGAGAAGATGGCAGTCACTCAGCAGGTCAATAAATTATACACCTTTTACAAGTTGAATCCAATCCATACATACTTACAGCCTATTGCCTGTTCTCCTAAAAGTGTTCTTCCTTCATGTTTCATGACTAAAATTTGGGTGCATTCCCTATCTTCCTCATTTGTGCTACATTTCCTACTAAGCTGGTCCTCAAAATTTTAAGTTTGGATTTCTTTCATAGTATCCCTGAACTGTGCTCGAAGCCAGTCCATGGGTCCATATTCAACATATTTGGACTAGAATTGATGAAAAACCGTATCTCCTGCCAGAAGATATGGTTTATTCAGCATTCAGCCACCTGCCACGGCTTGAAACCTAGGAGTCTTTCATCAACATCAGTCGCCGTGAGAGCTTCACTTTATACATATTTGGACTACCCCACCACACCTGGTGGAACACCCCATCTGCCACCAAGGAACTATATCCTACACAGAAGAATGCTTAAACCTTTCTGATTATGCAATCTATTTTTCCAAAAGACTAACAGTCGATGAATGACAGAAACAATCACTAATTCAACAGCTGTAAAAGAATGTGTTACACTACCCTCTAAGATCAATCTTAAGAATAATATCTGGAGTCAAAACTGGACAAAAACAGTCTAGTCCATGATGATAAAGATGAAGATAATAAAGCATTTAATTATTAGATGCTACACACAGACATTGAAACAAACAAAAAAATTTCTAACAGAATTTGCACAATTAGACACTACATACCACTTTGCTGTCATGAACAATCTTCTCCTTAGAGTCTTTCTGGAAATGTTGAAACTGTCCACATACATCTTGCCATTTTTCATTTATTTTTGTAACTGTACCCTCAGTATCACCACAACCAATTTTCAATCTCTGAAGTTCTGTACATTTCTCATTCAGTCTTGCAATCTCTTTTTCTTTCTTTTCAAACTCCTCCTGGAAAGCCTACAAAATGGCATATGTTGAAGAACAGTGTTGTATGTTGAACTTGGCAAAAAATTACAGTGCTATAAAGAATAGGTACTACCTTCAACTGAACCTCCTCATTATTTGCTTGTTCCAACCTTCTTTTGGCATCCTTTAACCACATCTGTAATTCAGCCACTAACTTGTTGTACTCTTTTAATTCATTCTCACATTGCTGAGCCTCCACTTTCCTTGCCTACAGACAAAAATAAAGAAAAATTAAATACAAATTTTGTTCTAGCATACAAACAGTTTATAATGTAGGGGACTGATGATTCCTGTCTTTGCCCAATGTTCTCCTACTGATTCACTCCTACAAAAAATGTGCCGAGATCAAACAAAATGTGTCCGTGTGCATGTGTGTGAGTATGTATGTATATATTTATTTATGTACATACAGTACACAGAGTGCCTCACCTAACTTTGCAACTTCAAATATTTATCAAATTTTAACACGTACAGGAAAAGGTTTCAAATAAAATGTACACAGTGTCTAATGGGGTATACATTAAGTAGTAAACTATTAATAATGGAAGTGTTGTTAAGATGTTGTGTCATTTTTAAGCCAGAATTACAGCCAGATTTGAGATGAGTTCACACAACAAATTCATGTTTGATGAACCATTACTGATGCCACCACTCAAAGTATGAGACAAATGCATCAATACATGTCTACATTGAAAGTTGTAATGTTCATACAAAATTTACAGTAATAACTATTCAAAATGGTAACTATTGTTATAAATACACTTTCAGATGCATTAAATTAAGAAGGAATTCACAGACAGCAGAGTTTAGAGGTACAGCAGGATATGCTGCAAGAATGTGTTGTTGCTTTCCTTCTGTTGTGGTTTTGGTTATATTGCTGACTCACCTCACACTCTGATTTCACTTCCTGCCACTTCTTTCTTAGTTTGTCCTGTGATGATTCCTTTAGCATTTCAGCTTGAGTTGGATCAGTGGAATGGACGGTCAGGATTAAACCATCTCCTCGACTGATGAGTGTTGCAATATCAGGAGCCAGGAAACTTAATTCATGTTCTAGTACCTTCAAAAAAAAATACAAATACACCATTATATCACACACAAAAAAGAAAACAGAGAAATTATGTTGCTTACTTTCCTTCAAATGCTTCCATCTATATGGTGAGCAAAGCAGGAGACATTACAAATCACACAAATTAGTTATGTATTTCTGTGCAACAATCAGTTTAGATACCAACTGTGTTAAATTTACCACATACAACCTCAATGTTTCACACAGTCACAATACTTGTACTTTCTAGCTTTAAAATAGCATTTGTAGGTATGTTATAATACATTCAAAATCAAATTTTATGTGTCTTATGTCTAGCTACAATTGTGCCCCATGTCATCACAGAATGGTGCATCTTCAGGCTGCAGATGGAAGAGACAGCCTCAAAATATGTAATGTAGCTGAAAAAATACTGAATAAGCTGTTGTGGCCAAATGACAGTTTTCTCATTAAAACTTTCATATCAACAGTACTTCTCTCTCACTAATTTCCTGTTATGAACTACTACAAATCAATTTCACAGTATCCTTCAGCATGAAACAAGCTACAATAGGAAGTAGACACCATGCTTTTCAACAACTATGCTTATAATCACTACAGTTATGATTTCATCACAGTGTCAGTAGTTTGACAATCTGCAATGGATTGTGTGATTCCTTCTCTCCTCCATTAACCCAGTTAACCGACAGCATCCTTCAATACCTCCAACCTCCTTCCTGGATCCTTTTCACTGCCAACTCCCTTTACAGTCACGATCATCACATCCATTCTCTTCATCATCTGCTGTGCTGCTTCTTGAAATGCTGCCATCTCCTTGGCAAGAGGAGTGGACACCATCTCTTTCTGTCCTTTTGAGGTTCGTGGAGTGGGTTGCGGTGGACTTACGGTCACTGATGTATGGACAGGTAATTTGGGGACCTCACTGCTTGTTACAACTGCTCTCTGTGATGTAACAGGATGAGGCTTTTCTCTGTGCTTGCTGACATAAGCTTCCTTTCGTGAAGAAAGTATCGCCTGAGAAATAATAAATATTTCTACAGCAGTGGCATAGTTTCAGTTTAATAAAATTCCAACACTTACATCATGTTAAAACCTCTATATAATATTAAAGAATAACTACAGAATAAACTTTATATACTATAATCAATAAACTGAATGTTTATTTAATTTGTCATTCATCAAAACCAAAAACAGATAAAATATATTCAGACACACTGTGACTCCATATTCCCTTTTATTGCACCCACCTTGTCAAAGTGTTGCATAACTAGGTGACCAAGAGATGGACTTTCATCATCTGAGCTTGAACTGTCTTTCAGTTCAAGAGGAGGTTCACCATCATCAGAAAACTCTATAACATCATCAGTCTCTTTGTCACTCCCATAGAAACTGTTGTAGTCATCATCCAGAACTGAAGAGGTGTCTCTTAACTCTACTGCAGCAGTGTTACAAGAAGGATTTGGGTCACTAAAGTTGCCAATTATTTTGTATGTTTTAGACACTTCAATTTCCTTTTTAAGAATTAATTCTTTTAGATCAGGAGATGTGTTATGTTCAGATCTATGTCCATCTTCTGTAACAGCAAACTGTGAAGATCTACCCACTATTTTCACACCGTTGTCAGCATGTGAAATCTTTCTGTTAGTTGGATCTAGAATTACATATTCAGAATCACGCCATGCAGTTACAGTGGTCTCTTCTGTTTTGTTGACTCTGTCCATCATCTGAAGGCAGAGTGAAGGTAGGTTATCACTTGGGCATATGGCTGGAGTTGGTGGTGGGGTTGGAGTTGCATGCATTTCCACACAATAACCAGGAATGGACACTTTAGGTGGGGAATCATTCAATTTATCAACTGATTCTGTTAGAAGTTGAGTTACACGGAGACATGCAGTTGGATCACTACTAGCAACTGCACTCACCCTGATAATTTCTTCATCTGATAATCGTTGAGATGGTGGTTGCTCAACATTTTCCAGTGATAATCTAGCAATTTTTTTGTTAGAGATAACAGTGTCAAAGTCGTCTTCTTGATGCTCAGTAGCACCTCCCTGAACATCATGCAACTGTAATGTTGACGGCCTCTTCCTTGTGTCTCCTTGGACATTAGTTGATTTAACAGGTGACTCAGAATCGGTCTCTGGTGCAGACTCCTCAGGTTCTGTTTCAGCGTCCTCAACGATTTCCACCATTTCAACAGAATGGGGGCCAAACTCTACCATTGTTTCTATGCTTCTGCTGGGGTATACCACATGCTTAATGGGTTCCAAAGAAGAGACTACTGACTTTAAAATTTCTATTTCCTTTATCTCTACTACTTGGCAAGGATCTGCCTCTTGCTCGGAGCCTACATGCTCCACCTTGGCATTACTGGTCACAAGTGTGTTCGTTGACACTTGAGAGAAGAGTATACTGTCCTTTGCCAAGCAAAATGTATCCATTTCATCAACATCTTGAGAAGCATATGCAGAAGATTCTAATGTTTTCACATTATCCCCTTGGTTTGGATCTGCAATAACTCCAGTTTCAGTTGCATTGCCTACTATGCTATTTTGATCTTTTTCTTCTCGTTTATTTACAGTTATTCCAACTGTTTCAGGTAATTCCACTGTTCTTATTTCATCTGGTACTGCACTCACAAAATATCTATGCTGAGTATCATCATAAATGACAATTTCCGGATATTGCCTTACTTCTGCTGGTGGTTCAGATTCCATTCGATCCTCAGGTTTTTCTGGTGTGTTCCCTACAAGAGGTTTACTTGCTTCTTCACCCTGAATTTTTGTAACTTCATCTCGGTCTAATAAATCTTCAAATACAGGATTCAGGTAGCCCATACATTCCTGTTCTACTGCTTCATGTTCAATAAATATTTTCTGAACACTTTTTTCAGCTTCAAGATTATCATTTTTATGCTGTGTAACCAGACACGACTTTGGTGCAACATGCTCTTGTGGTTCTGTCACAGGTACATGATATTTTTCCTCCGAAACTAGAAATGAAATTTCTTGTGGCTCTCTCCCCCTAGAATCTCCAGATGAGGGTGTAGTTTGCATGTCAGTTGTTAAAGGAATATCACTAGTAGTGGCAGAAGGACTCTTGGTCAATACAGTAACTTTCTGAGCCCAACCCTGTAAAAATAAGGTTCATGCCACTTGTATTTTAATCAGAAAACAATGGACCTTACATTTCTCGCATGAAATAATTTCTATATTACAAAGTCAATGGTTTAGAAAGACATAAGCTCTATGAAAATATTTTGACCAATTTATAAGTTCAACTTTTAAGATAACATAATGAAATTCTAATGAGCTGGAATTATAACATAATAAATTATCAAAATGTTTCTGGGAAGTTTATATGCAATATGCAAGTGTATATGCAATATGGCATGCAGAATGAGACAATTGTGCTCATTCACCATCACCAACCGTGCACTCCAATAGATCTCATCATAGCCATACCAATTAGCAGGTCAAAATTCCTACAAGCAACCGCCATCCAAGGTAACAGTCGGATTTTTAGCGTTATTCACATTCAGTTCATGTGCAACTTTGCAACAAACACAGCAATATGCTCTCTAAACTAGCACACTTATTTTTATTACAAGTAAAATTAACATACTAATGAGAAGCTTGCATGGAGATCAGGGGAGAGAGACCAATTCCAGGTTATTATTTAGCCCTTTTGATCATCAAATAAGAAATTATTATAAATTTACAGTGTAGGGTCTTAAACCTGCAGTCTGAGAGTTAATTCACATCACATATATGTCATTCACCTGCACCATGGCGTAATGCAACACACCCACAACCTCCACGTGACACAAGAAGGCCGAAAATGTTACCACATTGTGCAAAAACCACAAGCAACCAGTTCACCAGTCAACAAGCAAAGTTCTTTAGTTTTGGTGCACAAAGGTAGAAACACACATACTGCTACATACTAAATGCTAAACAAATACACCATAGCCATACACCTAGAATAGTGAGTGCAGTCATAATAAACCTAACTTCACAGTGTTATGTACACAACATACACAGAAGTGTTCAGTTAATGGGATGTCACTAACAGCAGCAATTATATTCAAAATCACAATACAATTAGTTTGGCAATACTTTACAAATGCATAATACAATGCTAATATTGTAACATTATTTTAATTAACACATTATTTTGTTACTAAATAATCATTAAGAGTTGCCAACTGTTGTGCAGATACAACAATCTTTGCATATGATGCAACACTTTACTAATTGAAGGCAAAAATAAACAAACATGTAAATGTCCTACAATCTAACAAATCACACGAGAAGCTGATGACACAATACCTAGTATAACATTAAAATCAGTTATGTTTACACAGTGTGTCAAAACTTCACTTTGTAAAGAACAAAAGCTTTGTATAAAAATAAGATATTAGGATCGGCAGAAGGTAAGGTTTAGCTTCCGATTTGCTTTGTCAGAAAAGCAAGTACTGCACAGGTCTTAGGAACTCAATACAATCTTATTTTGATATTCCATCATATAGCATTATTAGGCAGTTACACTGCAGTCTTGTAATGACTACTGGTTAGGTTTCACCATAAAACTTTTCCTTCAGTTTTAGATAAACCAAATGCACAAAAACAATGATTGTAACATGCAAATAAACACATGCATTTTACATATGTATATTCAGGTCATAAACTTATGGTGGAACTTTCAAGCTTTGCTACAAATGAAAACAAAAACTGTGGAGGCTGAAGTTCATTGAGAATCCTACTGCTCTGAACACATTCACTGTTCCAATCCTTGCCACACCTGACTGAGAATATCAGAAAGTAATCTTCTCAACTGTGTTTCATAATTCTTCACTTCAAATGGAAATATAAAATCACCAAACACTGTTGACGACGTTCAAAATAAGTATTTTCTGAATAGTAGATTAGACAAGGAGATCTAGCATCTTGGGTATTTCTGCATTAGACTTTGGTATCTATGGGACCACTTAAAAGAAGCACAAATAAAATCTTATAAAGTGATGGCAGTGATTAACTTACAGCGGGGGGGGGGGGGGGAAGAATTAGCCAGCTGAAATGAAATTCCTAAGATCAGTGGCAGGATTAACCCTTCTAGATTTTTACAGAAATATATAAATATGGAACTGCTTAAATATCTGTAATCTGAATGAGAAAATAGAAAGCCAGAAGAGAAATTGGTATGGACATACAGTATAAGAATGGATAAAAATGTAATTCCAAAGACTATTAAATTACACACCAGGACACAGAGGAACAGGAAGACAAGAGAAGACAAAGGAAAATAATATATAACGAAGTGATACTGTTAAGTGAAAATCAACAACAATGGACATTTAAAGCAAATTATAAGACAAAGTGAATGTGAACTCCAGATTCTTAACAGACACCAATGATGAGATGTGTGCACAGTAATGAATGAGTCTCACAACCAACTTCACTAAAAACAATGGTAAATTGTAACAGATTATCTTTAATTCTGTGTTTCATTTTCTAGCATTAACTGTTACAAAATAGTACCAAAGCTTAAAAACTACACCATAATTACTATATGTTAAGATCACTTCTGAAATTAAGCATATTATTATAAACAATTTATCTCATTAGTGCTAAAACATATGTAAGGCAGATTTTACAGTCTTTCTAATGAACTTTATATGTAGCAGAATTATGATTAGTCCGTAACAAGATGGGGCACCCCCACATTACCATCATAATATCAGGGCCTATCTTTGCGACACTCTTCCCAACTGATGGAAAAGATATAAACAGTTGAGTCCCCCCCCCACAATTGCCAGATTTAACCCCACCTGACTTTTTCCTGTGGGGTTACTTCATGGATGCAGTGTACAGCACAAAGCCAGTAACACTTCAAGAGTTCTGGCAAGAAACTGAATGGTCTTGCGCAGCTGTCCCAGCAGCAACTTTCATAGCCGTTTATCACGGCTGTCAACTGCACCACAAAGCTAACAGCGGTCATTTTGAATACCTGCACTAGATTCATTAATTCACTAAATACCAATGCTGATGTATGTAATAGTATAGTTCATTAAAATGTATTTATTTTATTTATTAATTCGTGAATCTTTTTTGGGATGCCTGTATTTGATGGATAAATTTTAGAAAAAAATTTCAATTTTATAGAAACCCATTCATTAATACTTGTGTAAAATGAAAGCAAATATTGTATCCCATGCAAATACAGTATTTGCACATGCTTATATTTTACAATTGTATACATTACAACATTTTGCTTTAGCAAATGTTCTTAACATATTTTCACAGTCTTCTTACATTTTTTATAATAGAACTTCACTGTTCTTTGTACATATATATTTCAAAAGAAAGACACACACAAATAAACACCATTATGCACAGAAATGAAACAAAATACAATTAAGAAAAGATATTAGTTGTAAATGAACTGAATATACTTTACATTTCTTTTTTGCATATAGTTTTTACATTCTACAAATACAGATATGCCACATCTGAATACAATATTTGGAAAATCCATATACATGCAACGGAATAAGTGTTAAATCCAGACGTTTGCCTTCTGGGTTGATACAGACACTAGGTCATTGTAGAATCAGTATTGTATTATACTGCAAATATGTTCTGCATTGCACCTTC